GTACATCCTTCATAGCTTTAAGCAGCATGGTCCTTCCAGTTTGTGCTCTCTCACTTGTGCTCTCCCAACGGAAATCCCCAGTATAGAGTGTGCAGCCAAATTCACCACGAAACAGATACATTACTGCTCCTGTATCAGTGCTTATACTTTAGCAGAAGAAATAGTGCAACCTCTAGCAATTTAAGCATGATAATTAGTCGTTACAACTACAAGCAGTATAATATGTAAGGTTCTGTTGTGATAGGAATGAGATTCCAAGCAAGTATAAAGGCCAAGCATCTTAAGAGCTAAACACAACAAATACAGTTTTAAATACTACAGAGAGATACAAAAATCATGTCACGTCTTCTTTAACTTTAGAACAGCATATAAACCACCCCTAACACACAACAGCACCACAAAACCCCTCTTTTGCCCCATAACAATAAGGAGAAAAATGAACAACAAAAAGGTTCTGTATATTAACACTCCAAGAAATATATACTCTCCATTAGAAAAGGAATCACTAGCACTCCCATAGTTTCAACCGAGAACGGGTCAATTTATATACTTCAATCATTAATGTAACAGTAGTAAAGACTAATTGTTAGGTCAGCTAAAAGAATCCCCTTTTATAATTAATTTTGTCAGCGAATATCTATTCAAGTCAAAATTGCAACTACCCATTAATCTTATTCCAACAGCAAACTGCAGACATTGAATTACATGAAAACTTGCATCACATGAGAAATTAATCAAACACTTGGAGTGCAAAAAAAAAAATAGTGACAAAATTGCGCCTATTACTGCTATATACCAGGGCAATGATGAGCATCAATAGCCATGAAAGATACAGTAGTAGAGGAACCCGAGGAAGGAGATAGCAAAGACACAGAGTGCCATTGACCAATTTCAACAATGTGAAGAAGAGAAAGGTTGAATCCTGGGAATTTAATGGGTAAGAGCTTAGCAGTAGTGCGGGAGCAGTAAAGGGGTCCCCGAGACCATTTTGAAGTGAGTCCACTCAAATGATCGGCATGAAGGTGAGTTAGAAAGTATACTTGGCTTCCAGCAGTCCAACGATCCACTGATACCATTCCACTCTCCATAGATCCCTCCCTGCTTCAATGAACATCAACTATTCCGCATAACTGCGAGTTACAGGCAAATAATTTCTCGATTCTGAGCTTGTACGCTAACACGGGAATAATCCAGATGGGAGATTGGGGGAAAATTGAAGAGAATTTTGGTTGGCGGGGAATTGTGATTTGAAATTTCAATGGTCGGCTTTATATCTTATGTAGTGCAACGGCCCAACTAGTCAATCTTAATACTCCCCTCCGCGTCTCACTAATGAATAATTTTATATAAAATTTTAAGTGAGAAACACCATTATGTATGTAGTTTTTCTTACGACAATTTTTACGTATAGCAAATACAAAATTTAAATTTATATGTTATAGTAAAATTTGTATAATTGTGCTCCATAAAAAATATATAAATGTATAATTCGCTTTACATATACAACTGAAAGATATGTCCATTTCGCTATACATATATACAAAGAAGCAATTGTATAATTTGTTGGTTCCTCTTCAAATTTGTATACAATTGAATCGAATTATATAAAATGAGAAAGAGAGAAATTATATACAATTTGAATGTGTATAAAACGAGAAAGAGAGAAAGACAAAAGAGACTTGGACAGGGAATATACAATTGAATCGAATTGCATGAAACGAGAAAGAGAGAAATTGTAATTGAATTGTATAAAACGAGAAAGAGAGAACGACAAAAGAGATTTGGGCAGAAAAATATTTGTGTTGTATAATTATAATTGTATAGGACAGAGATATATGTAATTGCATGTGTATATACAATTTTCTCTCGCTTTATACAAATAGAAACATAATTTTTACTATTATATTGTATAAAGCGAGAGAGGCAAGCGACACTAGCAAACAGTTTGCTAAAGAACACAAATAAATCAAACTGTTTGCTAAGAAACACCAATAAATCAAACGATAGCTACTGTATTTATTTTACATTAGTAGTTTGATATTCTATACAATTAATCCTTTTTCTTTTAGTTTATTGGAAAGAAGAGCGGTGAGTGAATTAGGAGGGAGGCGAGTGAGATATTATATGTAAAATATTAGACATTTTTGAAATACAAATACATAGTAAGAAAAATGAGTGAGCGAGAGAGAGAGGCGAGTGAGAGAATCAAATATATGTGAATCCACTGAAATATAATGTGTCTAGAATAAATTACACTTAATTTTGATCTAATATATCCGAGATACATGTATCTAGAGTCTAGATATGATAAATACATGTGACCGAGATACATATATCAAGAGTCTAGACACGACAGATACATATATCCATAGTCCAATTCAATAAAAGTCATAATATTCGAAACTTGCCAGGAAAAAAAAGTAATTTGCTCCTAAACTTACAAAATTTGTGTTATTTAATTTGCCCTTATTTATATGATGTAATCTGAATGAACCTGAAATTTTAAGAAAGAGAGATTTTTTAGAAAAATTTGTGGTCTAAATCATATGGCTATAAATCTATTTTATTAAGTACTATAAAATTCAAATTTTAAAAATTAAATTATTATTAAATATATCAATTTTTTTAAAAATCTATCTTATTAAGTACTATAAAATTTATATTTTTTTTTAAATTAAATTATTATTAAATATAAACAAACAAACAAAAAAGTGTGTTTAATTAAAATAAAGAAGTAATCAAAATCCACGAAAGCACTTAAAGCTAACTCATAAAAAATTGTCCAAATTACTTTTTCGTATTTTAAATTTTTTCAATAAAAAATTTCTGATTTTACCATCGCGGTGGATGGTCCAACCCTCCTTCCCCTTACCCCCCCACACATCTAGTCTCTCAACCTCGTAATTATAATGGTCGTATAATGTGAAGTCCTTTTCTAGTTACTCTTACTTCAGCCAAAGCTGACAAGTGTATGTTCATATACACTTTACATCATATAATATTCCAAAAATTACACATTACGTCCAAAGATATTCTCAAAAGTATTGACTTTTATAACTAAATTTTAAGACTTTGCTTTTTAGTATACTGTAGTAAAAATGTTGTTCATACACTAAAAGAAAACATCTACTTTGAGTTAAATGCAAATACCAAAAGCTCTTCATTATTTGTCCTTCATATATTGTTACAAAAAATTGACACTAATTTATTGTGTATTCTCCAGACATATATGTTTCCACACTTCTAATGCAAATACATTTAGTTTTGTGATATTTAATTACTTTTTTACTCGATGATAAGTACTTCTAAATTAAGGTTTGAAATAGACTTCATCGTACATATATATATTAACAATCACTTTTCAATGATCATCTCTAAAGAACCCTTTAAAAAGTAATATTTTCATATCACATTGTAACACTACTATTAATATTAAATTTTATCTCTTCGAAGGAGACCAAGTAATTAATTAGTTTATGTTTGTATAGAAATATAATTTGCCTAGAAAGTATTTCAATAATCTTTCAAAATTGTAAGACTCATGATATTACATCAAATAGAAATGCAAAATCGGATAAATAAATAATAATCACCACAACTTCAATCTTGAATATTGATTCATTATTTATCTTATGTTTAAATGACCGCGAGGATCGATCACTAACTCAAGAATCAACTGTTATCTTTTTTTTAATTGGTAGACTGTCGAAGATAATAATAATATGAATATTTTAAAAGAAATTTAAAGCAAGAGAAAAAAAAATTAAAAAAGTCGATTACAAGTAAAAAAAAAATATCAATTTTATCAATAAAAATGAAAGTTTTGATAATGGTCATTAAATTAAATTGATAGATCAGAAATAAATTTTAATGAGTATTAATTATTTAGAACTGAATAGACACGTGGACGATCTAAATTGGAGCCCAAAGCTTACACGTCTTTGCCGCTACGGTACTGGCATTTATTATTATAGAAAAAGAAAACGTTCTGCATATGATTGAAAAAAAATAACAAAATGTTTTCTAAATTGTGCATGCAAAAACTCAAAAATATTGACTTTTTTTAATGATTATTTTACGTATACATATATCATACATATAGATATAAAAAAAATAAAAAAACTGAAATACATTTTTATCTTTTTAGTTTGACATATATGAATTTCTTACTTACCTTTTTTAAATATATAGTTTCACGCTTATAAAGATTCTTCCTCCATTTATGTTTATTTATTTATATTAGATTTAATATATTCTTAAAGAAATAATGAATTAAATGATATTTTTATTGTCTTACTCTTGATTATTGTTCTCTCAATTTTGTTCATGATACTACTTTTACGATATCCAATAATATTTATTCATTTAATTAAATCATTGAATAATTTTACACTTAGTTCCTAATTAAACTTTTATTATTAATTATAGTCATTTTTGTATGACATTTTTTAAAACACTGTTTTGTTATATTCAAAGGGTAATAACCTTTTATTTATAATTTCTTAAGAATTGTGCAAAGTAAATAGTGGACATGCTTAGGAAAGATGAGACATCTAAATATTGAAAACTAAATTAGATTATTCATTAAGTACTTAATAATAAGAATAAATTAGGATGTTTATCTCTTAATTTTTCAAATTATGCAAGTATTCTCTCTATTAATTTTATTCGTATAATATTAACTTGGCACAATCTTAAGGAGTAACAAGTAAAATGTAATCTTATCATGTCATATTTTGAATATATAATAAATTCAATGCATTGATAAATAACTAAAACTAATAATAGTTAATTAGCAAGTAAGTGTTGTATCATCTCTTGATTTCTTTAAGTTGGACTAACACTATCTTTGATATAATAGACAAATAAAAGTGAAGAAAAAAGTATGAGATATTTATTTTTTGAGTCGGTTTGAATTGACATTTGACTTTTAGATTATAAATTAAAAAATATACGCTAAGATTTCTAACTTATGATTTTGCCTTCAAATCAAGTATATTATGGACAAGTAAGAATTAACGAGGCGAAAGTAACTTCTTTTATATCAATCATGTGTTGGGGAGGTTAGAGAAGATAAATTCGATCAAGAACCGTTACCTATGTCTCTTCTTTCTCGATAGGATTTTCATCACTTTATACTTTTAACCACCATCCGTCGTTAGTAGTTTCTACTCACTTCTCAATACTATATAATTTATTTATTTTTCGTTTGATGTCTATACCCACAACCCAAAACAACTTGTGCCCTGCATAACATACTTTGGTAGTTATATAAGTACATTTTTAAACCATGATTATTATTTTTTTTAAAAAAAGATTTTTTTTCCTTCATTGATTTTAATTCTAGTATACCACCTTGAGAAGAAGGTAACTAAATAGTAATATTAATTAATAAGTTGAGTCTCTTCTATTGCTTTGATAGCTTAGCAAAAAATAAAAATAAAAAATCTCATCATCCTCCATGACTCAACCACTTCTAAAACTAACCAATTCCCTTCTCATTTCCCCCAATTTTTCACTCTCCGCCGCACACCGCCGCGTCGCCATTGCCGTCGATCTCAGTGACGAGAGTGCCTTCGCCGTTAAATGGGCCGTCCAAAACTACCTCCGTCCAGGAGACGCCGTCATCCTCCTCCACGTCCGACCAACTTCCGTCCTCTACGGTGCAGATTGGGGAAGCACCTCCACCTCCCCTGCTCACAAAATCGAAAGAGATTATGAAATTTTCACCAACAATAAAGCGACTGAATTAGCGGTACCTTTAGTAGAAGCGAATGTTCCGTTCAAAATTCACATAGTGAAAGATCGGGATATGAAGGAAAGGCTTTGTTTAGAAGTGGAGAGGTTGAGATTGAGTGCGATGATTATGGGAAGCAGAGGATTTGGGGAAAATGAAAGCAGGGGAATTGTTAGTAAAGGGAAACTTGGAAGTGTGAGTGATTACTGCGTCAAAAACTGTATTTGTCCTGTTGTGGTTGTTAGATACCCACAACAAGATGAATATGGCGACGGAGCAGTGGAGAAGAAGGCGGCGATTGAGGCTGAGCTGCCACCGGTACCGGAGGAGGAGCACGAGTATCATGATGCTGATGATGAGCTAAAAGGTATGTATTAATAATTTGTTTAATTTGATTCGAAATAAAATAGTTAAAATACTGAATTTGATTTAATTTTTTTAATATATTATAAATGAAAATAATTAATAATATAAAGAAAATAAATTATTTATTTGTAAGTTTTAAGTTACGAGGACTCACAACAAAAAGGAAATGTTCATATTAATAGAGGTGACTTTACGATCTAAATTCGACTTTTAACTTTTTAACATTAAATTCATTTTAACTTTAGAAAAAGATAGCCAATGTGAAATTTGCTGTAAATAAAGTTAATTTTCACACGTGAAATTTATGCACCACATTAAAAATAAAAATACTAAGTTTAGATGAATCTGATATACATATTTTATGTATAAACACATCTCTGTTTAGGCTGAAAAACAGAGCTAGTATAGAGGGGGGAGTTTCTGTATTAAGTATTTGATACGAGTTCTCGATAGATCTTTGATAAAATCATGAATGTTTGATACAATAATACTAACATATCGAATGTTACTCTCACAAGTAAAGTATGAGAGAAAAATAGTGATTATATAGACTTTACTTTATTTTATAAAGATAAAAAAGCTATTTCTGATAAATTATCAACGGAGCATAGCAACTTAGCAAGTCAATTAAGTACTAAGCATTCCTCTTCTTTTTTTTTTCTCAGGTGAATGATCTAACGCTGTGAAATAGATGGTTATCTTGATGTCTACATTTTCTTGCTGCACGATGTATTTTTGTTTTATATATTGCTTAAATTACCAAACAAAAATAATATTTTTAAAATTATGTTGGGTTTTAAGTATGGCGAGTGAATAGGAAAGGGAATGAAAGACAATTATTATATTTTGTATGGAAAAACACTTCTAGCTCTTAGGGAGTTAAGACCGTTGAATGATAATGACAAATATAAATTGAATGATGAGTTTTGTTTTAATTTTGTGACTTTTTTTGTAAGCTTTTTCGCCTGGAAAAATAACATCCGAAAAACTATAAAAATTTCTACGTTACACGATGTATTGGTTGGATATATTACGTTGTGTCGATGTATCGAGACATATACGATGTATCAAAGTAATGCTTTACGCGATTGTATCAACACATTGAGGAATAAATCTGAAACTGAGACACAATATATCATGATGTTTTGGAATTTATCTAGATTTCATCAAATTTAAGATATTTTTATAATTTGAAAAAAAAAATAGGAATAAAATGCAATAAGTTCTTAATACGATGATATTTGTGTAAATTCTACTACAATATAATTCCTACGCGCATGTATACACAAATAATGTGATTTAGTCTATACTAGAGATGAGAAGAATCAGATGAAGACTTCGTAGTTTATAAAAAACTTGGATTACAAGAATATCAATATATTGCCTTGATATTGTCAAAAGCCAGCCCTTTATAAGTTAGTAAGAACTACTGGAAAAAAATTTCATAAAAAATCAAGTAGATTTTTTCTTTCTTTAATATCGAATAAGTTTGAAAAAAATATTTATATGTAATTTAGCTGGTAAGGGCGAGACATTACGTGGGCTCATTAGTTATCCAATTCGGTAAGCATAGGTAAATCGAGCTTCAATGATAAAGTAAGTACTAAAATTAATATAATTTATTTAATCGCATATTTATATCAAGTCATATCAATTTATCATAATTAAATATTTTAATAAACTATCTAATATACGTGAACACCAGATACTTTTTTTAATCTAATATTAATAACAAATTAAAGATTACGTCGACATATCACATCAAACATTGTGGTCAACTTTTGAGTTACGCATGATCAACAAAAAGGCCTACAAGATAATTATCACACCTGTCACTACATATGCCGTTATTGCATTAAGGTTAGACAAAACATTAAAATAATATAATCCTATTCTTAAAAACGCAACATAAGACGACCAAACAGCAAAACATAACACCCTTAACATTAACTACCAAAATCTTTTGTAGAATCATCAACTTGAGAAAAACACATCTTATATGAAAATATAATCTCGTAAATAAAGTCTAGCGAGAGTAAAAATATATGCAAATCTTACCTATACCTTCCTATTTCAGATAGACTCGAGAAAAAAACATTGAAGAAGAAGACGTTGAAAAGCATAATTTACGGAGTCTGGTATGTACGATGCTCAAAATCTTGTATATCTGTTATGCTTTTCTGAAACATTTTTGCCTTGTACAAATCTAAGCTAACATCTAAAGAAATAATGATACAGAATGTACATCCCATTAGAATCTATACACAAAATCCTGTTAAAGATTTTCGAGACCTCCACAGGCTTCTCTAAAAAGGCCATTACGAGGCTGTCTTTCCTCCGATTTCAACAAGGGGAAAAATTGGCCATTTCAACCTGAATTAACTGGAACACCAAAAAAAAGACACTCGTCTTAACCTAGGAAAATCGGCGCAACAGCTTCTTTAGACTTAGCAATCTTAGCTGCTTCAGCTATTCTAAGTGCCATCATTGCTTTGTAAGTTGCTAGATCAGCGTTCTCCATCAGCTGCTGCGCCTTCTGTCTCATCCGAACTGCCAAATCCTCCGACTTGTTTGCAGCAGCTTTTGCTTCTTTCACCTTCAGTACTGCATTTTGTTGCTGTACAGCATCATTCTCTGCAACAACAGCTGTTTTATAATAATTTCATATAAGTCTTCAGTCGAGTAGAAAACATCAAGATACATATAGCAAATGCTGTATACCTACTGTTCAGCAAATACAACATTGTTCAACAGTCGTAGGTCCAGCACAAGAAGACTACTAACAGATCTTTGTTTACAGTGAACGCAAACTGAGAAAACTTGAGGAAAGAGCTTTTACAGATTAATATTTTTTTTGAGAAAAGTGGGCAAAGCTTGAAGATTTAGCTTCAGAACTTAAGAAAAAATTAAACAAGCAGCCATACTAGCCTAGTTAAGCTGCAAGCATTGGCATTGGCTATTGCACAGCATCGAACCACTCTAATGTAGAATCTCTCATAAATTGTTCATAAGTAATTTCAACTACCATTAACAGCTTCTTTCAAGTGGTAAACATGCAGTACAGACCTCAGTTAGGACAACAAGAATTCTGATATAAATAAAATTGAATACACACCTGGTAGAAAAGGCCGATGTTTGCCTCTACCAGCTTTGCTTCCTTGCCGTTTGAAAGACCTCTTCTTCCGGAAGATAGATTTTGGGATCACTTGAGTTCTCCTTGGCTGGTAACACTGTCAGGAAAAATCATTGTGACCTTCATAATATGACGTAGAGAACCATCGACCAACAATTGTATAGGAATAATGAAAAGAACGATTTATAAAAGAAAAATGTCAGATTTTTTTATGTTTTGCTTAATGAAGATGAAATATCAGCGCTAAGTCAAAATCTTTTCTTCTATTTTCATTTTTCATTTCATTTTTTTTTTATGAAAAACAAATTTTGTATTCCCCTAAAAGTTGCAGCTGAACATTTCTTTTATGAAACTCTAACTTGATTAGAGTTGTAACAGCAATCAATAAAGATCTTTTATATTCTTTTGCTTGCTCATAAACCAGTTACGTCGGATAAGCACCAGTTGGTGAAGATTTAGTTGCTTTTTATACAGTTAACCCATTCACACCCGCACCCATGAGCCCACTAGTAGCCCTTTTCAGTTTGCTCCTCGGTGACTCGAACCCCACCTCCATGGTTGGCAGTGGAAGGTCCTTACCACTAAGCTATTGCTACCTTATCAGATTAGAGACCAATTCTTCATTACAACCCATCACATCCTCAAAAGAGAATCTAGATGCAAATCTCAAGTCACTTATCACATTTATTCTACAATTATAATACCAAACAGTTTCTCTTTCATAAAAAGATGAAAACAATTGGTATAGAACAAAAGAAGCTTTAGTCACTTCTCCGCAAATCGCTTTACCTAAGGAGAGGTGAGGGTGTATATCAACTTCTTTCAGGAGAATTAAACAGAAACTATACTCCATGAAGAAAAAAATTGATATTATTCAGAAGACAGTGTATAAACTATTTTACTTCAATTCAAGATCTAAAATACAATTGCTTCCAAAGATATTGTCATTAAGAAAAATGTTGCTATTGAAGCATATCACTTTTACCTGGAAAATTTTTATCAGGGAAGACCGGTTTTGCTTCCTCTTTTTCGACCAGTAACTGTACACAGCCTCTACAATCTCTTTCTTTTCCTTATTCGGGCAACTACTAACAGCAGCTTTCTCATCAGAGTAATCATCTGGATTACAATAGAAGCCTTTCTCAAAATGATCAATCAGCAACTCGAAGCTGTCAGTTGAAAGGTGATCATTTTCCAGACTAGGCTGATCATTAAAGTTTCTCAGCCATTCTTCATCATCACCATCCATGTCATAGTTAGCTGTACTCCTTGCTAATGCCCTTGCTAGTTCATCATCTTTAACAGTGATGTATGAAACTGGCCGGGCAAAGAAGGGAGGATTGCTCTCTGCATAGCCTGATACTTCACTTACACCAGGAACAGGAATGATGCTCACCGCAGGGGGCTGTACATTGCGATCAGAACATCCTTTGTAAAGTTCCTTGAAAATCAACCAGTCTTGCCTATCTGGAAACTCTAACTTCCAACCACTATCCCCAACCCATATTAAGTCATGAGTTACACGGTTGGAACTACATGGCCTCATAACTTTTTCAGTAGTAAGATTAAATCTCCTTACACCACCTATCTTCACTGCTAGAATCCATTGTTTTGCAGCAGAAAGTTCCATACCAATGACGGCGCCTTCTTCTCTGTAACACTTGTCTGGTTCGGTAACCAATATGTTTGCCGAACAACTCGCTGTCTCTATATTCTGTGTCAATCGCACCAAAGCAGATTTTAGTTCTTTGACGCTTGGCATGGAAGTTTTCTGCCGTGAACTTCTAAGCTCATAATGAGGTGTCCGAGAGGAAAATCGGAGGCCATCACGTCTGAACCTTAACCTGTCGGAAGTCAAAACACCACTGGCATTCTGTGTGCCAAAGGAAGAATGTCTGCCTCTCATTGACCTCAATGAGCTTCTCCTCTTCTGGATATTACGACTGTTCCTTGGCTGCAAGTGCCGGGCAGTTGATTTAGGAAGACCAACAGTTGTGTTAACCACTTCAATCTTTTTAGAATCATATGCTCCAGGTGCAACTACATCATGTCCAGACTGAGTATTCACATCCAATTCAGACAGAGTTACAGGGGTAAGGCAAGATACAAGCTCCATGTCATTAGTCACCGTAACTTCATCAATAGCAACTGTAGGTTGCATGACTAATGCATACGACATGGGAACAAATCTGAGAAGCAAGCTTGAGTGCAGGTATAAAAAGAAACACGGGACTGTAGAAAAGTCCAACGTAAAAACAGGAACAGAACACCTGACGCCAGAGATAACACAAGCTCCAGTTTTGATTTTCCTGGAAGTCTGATCCTAAGTTCCAGAAACAGGAAAAACAACAAGATCAGCTACAAACTCCCTAAGAATAAGACATCAAATAAACAAAAAGAGACTGGGAAAAATAAAGGATGAGGCCCAATAGTATCAAAATATGACTGATTTACCTTGAGGAGGAGGATTCCTTGCAATGACCAAACGTCCCTCAGGGGTTTAGAGTTGATGAATCCAAAGATTTGCTGCAGACTAACAGTTGACCTCCTCAAATACATTAACATGCAATTCAAAAGGCAGGAAACCCAATAACCGCTTCCATATGATGTATTTACAATAACAATGTCACTTGAAAATTGGCCATCTTCAGATTTATCCGAATCTTTAGCATAAGCTGATCTATGTTTTTTCTTCCTTATAAATTGCTTGCCATACCTCATAACATCTGTTAACACTTTCCCTCTCACAGAATCATGCCTTTTCAAGTCCACCCTTTTCCTCTTCCTCGTATATACAAGTCC